CTGATGTTGATGCTGTTGCTGTTGAAATCTAATTATCAACTCATGAAAAACCTGCTATTAAGACGGTGCCAACCTAAAACAGGCTAAATGGTCACTCAAAAAAAAAAAGAAAAAACTCTCGACTTCTGCTTGTCAACGACGTTTCACTGCCAAATAATAAACAGTGCCGCACAGTCGCGCGATCATACAGCCATTTGCTTGATTTGCTGCTAAGTGCGAGGCCAATTTTAGTGTTACGCGTTGAGATATTTGGTTTGGTTGAAATGTTTGGTAATGAAAAAAATAAATACAGATGTCGGTGTTCAATTATTGTAAACTATTTCGCTGAATTGCTGTTATGTGTTGAATAACTTTAATGTTATTTTGATTATTTCCACTTTTATCTTCCTCCTAGCTTCTTGTTTATTCGTCTTTCCCGCGGATTCTCCACTGCATAAAAACAATAACAGACTACACAAATAAAATTCAACAATTTGAATTTTTTTCAGCTCTAATTTTTCATCTTCTAACTAATTTTTATTCCTATCTCCTTAATTTACAGGTTATTTTTTTCTTTTATTTTACAGCTGTATTTTTCTGTCGTCCAAACTTTTTTGTAATTCCATTCATTCGTTCTTCATTTGTTTTCTTCTATCTCCAGTAATTTTGCTGTTCTCGTTTTTGGAAAGAAAGAAGAAGTTCTTGTTGTTAAATTTCTGCTCCTTCGCTGAGAATAGCAGCATAAAGTTCAAATAAAATTTTAAATGTCGTATAAAAATATGATTTTTTAAATTTTAAATATATCTCAGCATAAGGTAGTGGCGTTTTTTCTGTTGTTAAAAAAAAGTCCCATCTGACTGCTTTTCTTTTTTTTTTTCTTATCGTTACAAATGTCGAATAAAATTTCTAAAAAGCAACGCAAAACAAAAAGAATGTACAGACACAAATCTTTTTATCTAACAATTCAATTTTTTTCAATGTCTAAAAGAGTTAAAAAAGTTGAAAATAAAGCAGTATACGTAAAAAAGCATGGATTTGTAGCTTTATAAAAGTAAGCAATCAAATTGAATACTTTTTGGAGCAGAGAAGAAAATAATTATTAATAGGAGTTATTTAAAAAATAAAAGCTACACACATACAGTGAGAAAAAAAACGAAGAAATAGGAAGAGAAAAATGACAAAAAGGCACCGTCAAAAAACTTTTTCATTTGATTTGAAAGAAAAAAAAAGCAAAAAGTGTATAAATAAATAAACTATCTTCTAACTGTCTTCTTCTTCTGCCTCTTCAGAAAAAAGTGGAGCGTTCGCTGCTTTTTGTGATAAATTATAAAAAAAAATTGAAAAAACAATCTCAGTAGCAAACTAATGGGAATTAATAGTGAAATACAAATGCACTACAAGAACACCACTTTGACATGCAGAAGCCGAAATTTTTTTCTCTTGCAGAAAAAATCGGTGGAAAAGAACAGTACAACGTTCCATTTTTTTCTTGCCCATTGCGAAATTGTTGCCATTTGTTCTGTAAGAAATGCCTGTACAAAAATAGTCAAATTAGTTTTGAACTGTTTCCAACAAATAACTAATTGAAAAATCTGATAGGAACTGGCACTTTTCCTGCAACGAACAGGGTGAGGATAAGGTTAAAAATGAGACGAGGACAAAAGGCGTTAGAGTAATGAAGGAAAAGTGAGATATGACGTGGACTCAGGTAGGAGCCCGGAACGATGGGGATACGGGAGTACGGGGAAATACCGTATCAGTCAGTGTGTATTTGGTCACCGCAAAATCTAATTTTGTAAAGAAACATAACTTTTTTTTTGTGGTGGTGTTGGTACACAACAAATTTCCGCCAACTAAACTGGTTGATTTCCGCAACAGCAAAAAAATTCTCAGAAAAAAAAAGAACAATTAAAATCTAAAAAATTTAGAGAATGAATTGAAAGTTAAATTCTTATCTGTATTATAATGTACATTCGTTTCAATGCAAAAACCACTTTTTTCCTCTTTTCTTATTCTGGCTTTCACAGATAACGGCTTTCTGTCATCAATCAAAACAGAATTTTAGTCACACTGTCCTTATGTGTGTTCACTATTAATTCAAAACTGTATGTATCTATTATAATGGTCTAATTTTTTTGGGACCACCAAGTTAACAAGCAAATAAATCAGTGCAGCTGAAACACATTAAAAATTTGCTGCAAGTAAAGAATTTATTTATTTTTTATAACCAAGATACCATTTGGCATTTAAGTTAGAGAGATTAAGAAAAATTAATTTACTATAAATTGTTTTAAATTAATTTTTTTATGCAAAAGATAGTGGTTAAAAACTGTTGACTATAACAAATAATAAGTAGATTAAATTTTATTAACTGCTGAAGATAACATGAAAGCGGAAAAGCTGAAGAAATTGTCTATTAGTATTCAAAAAAGATAACTTTTTCCTTCTACAAATTTTCTTCTACTTTCTTTGCTCAAAAAACAGGAAAGGGATGAACAACAATTTAATGAAACCTGTCTAAATGTTCATTTTTTGTTCAGCAATAAAGAGTTATGAAAGAAGCAAAAGAAGTTACTGCTAATATTACTTGTAAAGTTGACCATAAAACTGTGATACATCCTTAAGTTCCTAGAAGAACCGTATTTGTGGATGAAAAAACCTGTTGGTGGCAGCATAGCGAGAAGAGGCACTGTTCGCAGAAGTTATGTCCGCATGGAAGCAGTTTCGGAGGTCGTTCAGTCGGTTGAAATGGTTCAAAGCAGACTTCACAGCAAATCGCGTCGTCACTGTCACTTAAGAACGAAACTAACTTCTGAGATAAATTTACACTATCATTTTGCGATTGGGGCATTTCAATCTGAAATTACAAAGAAATAATTAATAAAATACGTCAAAAAAAACCCTCTTCAACAAGTCATCCAATTTACAGAGCAAAACCATATCAAAACAAAGGCGTATAGCAGCACATTGAATAAATCTTAGATCAAACATAGGTATCTGCCTATCAAATGGCATTAGATAACCCCGAAAAAATTCCTACAACGACTATTTTTATTATCTTTATGCTGTAAAAAATTGAAAAGCAAAGAAACTAGTTTGGGAACAAGAAGCCATTACTAATCTTAGTTAATAACCTGTCTCGCTCACCTTTCACCCTTATGCAGTCCAGGTGATGTAAGTAACAAAATACACTTATACACAGACACACAAAAACTCACAAATTAGATCAAACTACCAGAAAATAGAACCCCGAAAAAATAAAATAGTTTTTTAAATTTCCTTGTAATAATCATTATGTGAAATACATACATACAAGTAATTTTACCCTTTTTCCTCACTTTCACTTCTTCGTTATCAGAATCAAACAGTGTGACATTAAGATGACAGAAAAGAAGTTAATATGAATGAGTTGCAAAGAAACTGTTTTTTTCCTTTTTCACTACTTTTTTTTTCCCTTTATCTACAATTCTAATGTATCCACCGATCTGGAAAGAATCCTCTTGTTATTAGTTTTGTGGTCAAGTTCGTTGTTGCTGTCGTTTGCTGTGGTTGCAATTCAGTTGAATGTCGTGGGTTGGTAGGCAACCAGTAAATGGTTCATGCATACAGCAAATCTACTCATTTTTTTTTTTTGGTGATTTTGATAGAAATGTTTGGAAACTATTATTATTGTAGAAAAACCAGAAAAAACCGAAATATTACAAAAGATATTTAAGTTTTCTTTTTCATTCATTTCTTTTTTTTCATTTTTACTGATATTGCCAGCAACCACCAGCAACTACTTTTTTCAACCTTCAAATGTTTTCTGAAAGTGCCCGCCTTTTTTTTGCATCTTTCATTCTTTTTGCCCTCTCCTCTGTTAAAAATGTGTTAATCAAAGATTCATCACAAAAAAAAAAAAAATATCATTGTGGTTATCAGAAATCCAGTCAACAAAAAAAAAAAAAAAGTGATGTCAGTAAATTTAAAGAAGAAAAAAGAGCTTTCAAGAGATTGACTATTCTCCAACAGTAATATAGAGAAATTCCTTTCTAACAATCCCTACGCCTTAACTGTTTTACGCATAACTGCTGCCGTCGTTTTTTATTAGCAAACTGGTTTTTTAGCCAAAGTAAGAGCTAAATAAAATAAAAATATAAGAGGAATAGAAAAAAATTGTGCATTACAACCAGCTAATTAACACTGGAAAGGAAATCGTCTAATTTAAAAAATCATCAACATTATTGTCATTATTATCGTCATCATCAGCGTTACATCAACATTAGCGATGAGGAAAACCCAACCGATTTGTAGCTTGAAGAACGGCATTTTTCTATTACATCTTTCCCTTAGACAGAAACAAAACCCACTTATAAACTTTAAAAAAATATACTGCCTTATTCTTTTTCATGCTGTTTTTTGTTGTTGCTGTTTCTCTTCAGTAATTGTACTGCCGTCGTTCTATGCAGCTTATAGAGCAATTTCAACAAACCGATTCTGAAATTTGACTACCAAAAAACATATAACATTCAAAAACATCTCCAATATTATCAGTAACACTTATTTATTTGGTTGGCTGTTCGATAAAACTTTAAGTAACAGGAAAAGGAAAGAAAGCAGAAGAAAAAAAAACAGTTGAACGCCACCCTCGAATTGCCGTTGTAACGCTGAAAATGGAGTAGAAATCATACTGAAACAAATTATTTATTATATGACAACTAAAGCCACGCCGAAACTATTTAAACAAAAACGACTGTTCAGAAAAATTGTTGTCTGACCAAAAAACAACAAAGAACGACGACGGCATCAACAACGATGGAATCACCACAATCAATACTATCATTACCATTACTCATAAAACTTAAATACATCTGCAAAAAAGTAAGAAGGAGAGGGGGACGGGGAAGAAGAATGTGTAACTTGAATTTTGGTGATAGTTAATTAAAATAAATAGCTTTTTTTCTACGACTAATGCTATTTCTCTGACACTCTAAGTGTCAAAATACGGCAGTATTCTAACTTGATAAATGTAATTCATTAATTCCTACATACGTTACTAAATTTAGATCTGTAAAAGTAAGCATTAGAAAATAAGTTTAAAAAAAGAACGAGACGAAATCTGGTGCCAGTAGAATTTTTGCTATTATCGTTTCTTCTTTTTTGTTTTTATTTTACGCAACCGGCAAAAATCACGTAATTCGTGCATACTAATAAAAGTACACTTTTTCTACTGCTGCTTATACTGCTATCTACCAAGTAATCAGTCTTAATAATCAGAATTAAAAGAGGAAGTGAAATTGCAAGAAAAAAAAGACACTCTATGTTTTGTAAACTTAGTTACAACGTTCGCCGACAAACATCAAAACCGTAGTTACTTAGTTAGCTAGTCAATTAGTTAATTTTCTTTTTTTGTAGCATTTTCACCCCCTCTTTTTTAATAATTGTTTTCAGATCTTCCAATGAAGCAAAACTTTTCTGCTTATTGAGTGTATCTAAAACAATTCTGGTAGACTGTTTACGTGAATTCTTAGTTTGAAGTCAACAATATTCAAAAACTTCAAAACACTAATCTACATCAAAAAACTGCCAAATTTTGAAAAAGAATTCTTCAGCAATTTGTACTTTGTTGGACCAAAACGAAAAACTTGCCGTATACCTCTTTATTATTACTATTATCACTACGATTAGTACCGTTGTTAATATTGTTATTGTTACTACTACTATGATTACCATTATTATTATCATTATTGTTATTATTATTATTATTATTATTATTATTATTAATATTATTATTATTATTATCGTTGTTATTACCGTTATTATTATCATTATTACTATTATTACGGTTACTATTACTACTACTATTATTTCTATTGCGGTGTTCCAGAATCAGATACCTAGAAAATGGAGAGAGCTTGGCAGAAACAAATGGAGGCCCAAAATACTATCGACGGCTAATAATAGATTTACAGTCTATTGATAATAACCAACTGTTCTTTCAATAAACGAATACCCTCAACTAAAGTAAATGCTGAAAAGTTCCTCCTTAATTCAGCCTCTTTTTCTTCCACACTTCTTCTGAGCCTTCAAAAAAAAAAAAAAAAGAAAGAAAAAATCAAGATTGCCCTTGACATGAATGGGTGTAAATGGAAGAAGATAGGCAGAGGAAGAAAAAACGCATACAGGCACTGGAAAAATATTGCTAATTTTTTCTCTTCCAATCTTTATTATTTCCTTCCATTCTTTTTCAGTCTTTTTTCATTCTTCAAAACAAATTTTTCGGTCCCTCAGATACGCACTCTGTTTGGCGTGCCACCATCATTATGGTTCTTTTTTGTAATTTTAGCGACAACAGTTGCTAGTATGTAAGAGGTAAAAAAACAGCACAAAAATTAAATTTTTGTTTTGCATCCCATCTTTGAATGACCGATTTATCGGGTATTAGTCAACTATGACGAAACTCAACAACAGCGGCAACGACAGCGGCGATTAAGACGACGGCAGCAACAGATGATAACGCCTCGTTGTTCTTTGACCGCAGCGGGTGCAACTTTTTTCTGTCGCCGTTGTCAGGTACAGTTCTATTTTGGATTTCTGAAAAAGTCGAAAGCTCCGGATTTCTCTTTCGCCGTTTTTTTTTTCTTTTTTTTTTTATTTTGTGGTTTAAGCAAAAAATCTTACGCACCCTGGAAAACTTGTAGAAAATTGATTTGATAACAAGATGATAGCGACTTTTTTTTGAAGTGTTTCTTAGACGACGACTATGAAGGCAAAAAATCGAGCAGATTAACAGAAGCAGCAGCAACAACAAAGATAAAATTACAAAAGACGTAAATAATATTAAGAATACAGTTATTTTTTCTTAGTTCTGTTCCACTCATATATAGCTCTTCTAATAAATTACAGGTTATAAAACTTTATGACTTTTCTTTGGAAAAAAAAATTTTTTTTCTTTTTAAATTCAACAACCGTATTTAGTGTAGTTTTTCTGGCTTTTTTCTGTTTTCTTTTTTTTTTTTACAATTATTCGGATGTTTCTACTGAAAAAATGAAGTGCTTTTGCTGTTTCCTGTTAGATTAAAAAGAAAAACTGTGGTCACAAGTAAAAAGGAGAAAAAAGAAATTTTATTAGAAGGATGTAAACAGCATAAAAGATGAAAAAAAATACAAGAAAAAAGTGTCTAAAAATATCAACCGATTATGCAACATTATTTGTTAGACAGTTTTGGTTTAGTTAAACAGTAAAATTAGTTTAAACTAATGGTGCTTAGAACCCGCTTTCCATAATCAAACTCAATTTTCAATGTTTAACAAATAAATAAAAGATGAAAAATTGATAAGTCACACGTTGAAGGGAAAACTGTTTGGTTACTATAGCCATTCAGTTAGCCAGTTAGTTAATGATTATGATAAATATGCTAAACACTGAATAAACGACGGCAGTCTAAAGCTTCTATCAACTAAACAAAACTCGGAAAATTTTTAGAGCCTGAGAGAATCCAGCCACATAACAAAATCGCTGCTACTTGCTACCGACGTCGTTGTCACTTACTACAGCTACTGATACTGTTACTGCTATTATTACTGCTTTTGCTTCCAGTATGAGTTGTCTCGTATGTTTTATGTTTATACTGAGCAGATATAATCGTCAAAAAAAAAATATTATTAGCGGAAAAATAGTTGACTAAACTTCTCATCGTAAGCAGAAAGATAAATGATGGGGAAAAAAAAAAGAGTAAAAAAAAAGAATAAAAGCATACTTTTTTTTGCTACTATTGTTCAAAAAACTAGGCAACTTCAATTGAGCGCAAATAGAAGTGAAAAAAAAAAGAAAGAAAAAACACAAAAAAAATTGAAAAATAAAATGGTGAACAAAAATAACCTAAAGATGCGGCTAATTTAATCTGAAAAGAAGTGAAATAGAAAAAAAGAACGAAGCATTTATTTATCAAGAAAAGAGGCGAAGTAAAAAACCAAAGTTTTGCTGAATACAGCAGATTCAATAGAATCACTGCTTTCCAATAACCAAAGCTCAT